TTCAAGAATACATCAGAAATTGTAGATTTTAGCCTCTTGCCCTTGCTCAGCCCAAGTCGATAGCATCTCCCACTACCAGATTTGAGCTTAGTCCTTTTTAATGCATTTCTGTCTTCCATTTCCAAAGCCTGGAGCTAGGCTTTGGTACCTGAAACCAGGGAAAACAATTTGCGAAGTCACTCAGAGCATCAGCAGTGGAGAGAGGGACCAGCCACTGAGCTCCTGGGGTACTGGTTGGTAAGGTTACCACCTTGCTGACCTTGCTAGTTTATAAACCTAAAACGTTCTGTCCTTTTCCATGCAAATCACTAAGTAGCAGTACCCGAGTAAAGCAAGCTTCTCCCATAGAAATATTGGGGCAGAGCTGTCCTCCCCCATGGAGCTCTGCCAACATCTTAGTCCTCACCTAAAGGACACAGCTTTTGTTCTTGTCCTCAAGCATCCTCGAAATGCCGCCAACGGCGCTCAATTGTACTGCGGCTTTTGAATAGGAGAGAACATTTAATGAAATGCAAACCAACATTACCAAACGCATTTCAAATATGATCTAAGTCAGGTCTCCAACTGCAGTATTTGTGGAAGTGCTACTGTCACTTCTCCAAAACCTAAGAATATAAAAATAGCATGATTTATGGGTACCACAATACTACAAACACAGATTTATTGTGTCAGTGCAAAATCATGCCTCACACATGCCCACATAACCACAGGCTGCAGCCCACTTACCACTAAAAAAAGAGAGAAACAGATCCATGGCAGGCTCAGAAAATCCTTTAGAATTAGTGACTTGCTAAGACAACTGACACCAATACCATTTGTTTGTATGCTATAAAGGTGTAAATATCAGCCACTGCCAAAGTCTATAAGAAAAGCCTGTAAGTTCCCATTAGCCATTTCCCTGGATGCTGCACCCTGCTCACTGCAGAGACGCCTGGGGTGCAAAACCAGATTTGCTCCATGTAAACGCCCAAGTCCAACCACAGCAATTCCACATTCATTTTGCTCTCCCAGCTTATCTTCTCACAGTTTCGGAGTGCATTCTTGCTTATCTCAGAGACAAATGGCCTCCAAGGAGAGCTCTAAACAGCAGAGCTATTTATCTGTTTGACATGTGCTTCCCTGTTTGTTTTTTCCAGCCTTGAGACAGGAGGCTCAGGCTTTGACAATATTCAGCTGTGTCAATGGCAGAGGGCTGCCTGGCTCCTTCGCTCCAGTGCTGTGAATCAATTTCTTTGCCATATTTATCATTTACTGTAGTAAATCAAGTCTAATCGATGCTTTCTTCTTTTGATATAGAGCAAAGCCTTTGCAGACTTTTCAGAAAGCTGTTTGGAATTAGGAAAAGCTGGGTTGTGTGTGTGAATATTTAATCAATTCAGCACTATTTTTTTCTTTGTGGAACATGCTGTGGGTCACACTGTCCCTGTGGAAAAAAAAAAGAGACAATAAACAGTTGTGTTTAGCTACTTCGGATTGTTTCTGGTTCTTAAAGCACTATATGAACAAGTGTCTCCTGAACACAAGTGCATCCACACTTTCTGAGCCAACTCCTACATGCAAGGGCCTCCCTCCCTCTGCACATGCATCATGTATTCCCCGTCATCCTGCCAAGCAGCAGAGCCAAGGCTTGAGAGCATCGGAATTGTCCTCGTTCTCCTTCACCAGGGCTCTGCTCAAGACAGCAGGGCTGCCACCAAGAGCACAAACGGGTCCTGCAGATCCCTCTCTGCCATCTTGGGCAGGAGCAGCACTCCAGGCAGCAGAGAGGATGGAGAACAGACTCCCCTGGGACCTCAGGCATGAATCCAGGCTGCTGCCATTCACCCAGGCAGAGAAGCTCTCTCTCTGCAAGGACAGCTCACAAACATGTCTGTAAAGATGTGGGGCTGGGAACAAGACTTGCCTTTGCTGGGGTCTGGGTAACAACAGAGGCTGGTGCACTCCAACCAGTGGAGAATCATCAGGACGTTCTCTGGAGCCATCTTTCCCACAGCCACCTTAGCTGGCTTTTCAGGGGAGCTCTGCACCACTGCCACAACATCACCTTGGGACAAAATGCTCTATTTAGCCTAAATCTCTAATACAAAGGTAACTGATTAATAACAAGACATTCAACAAACTCTATTTCCAACTCTGTTTAATCTCTCTCCCAGAGCACTCTGTACACCTCAGACAACCCACTTTCCCCTCCTCCAGCAAAATGCCCCAGCATTTCCCCCCTCAGGCTTAGCTCACAT